CCATCCACATTTTTTTTTTGATAATTTACTCTCAATATCTCGAACCTTTGGATATCTCAAAGTTTTTTCTTGGTCCCATCAAGTTCGAGATAACGAGGTTTGACTGTAAATACTAAATGTGCTAAAGAAATGACATGAAATCAAACTAACCTGATCTATATTGCTTGGAGAGCTATCATTTTTTGCATTCATCCCAGACTTTTTCAATCCCAGGAATTTCAAAACATCAATTTTACAAATAACTATGATGTCATATGCACTACACACACCCTAAAATAAAAAGATAGCATTGTAGAATACATATATGTGATTTAAATACACAAAGTATTGACAGTTTTAAATCATGATTACATTGCAAGGTCTGAATTAATTAGTTTTATAAAATAAAGGCTGTGACTAATGATTTAAATAATTCAATTTGATCTACAGTTTGGACTTTCAGTTGACAATGAAATCCATTTTGCATCAAACAGTGAGCACACTGAATATTTGGCATCGACTACAACAAGCATTAAATAAATGTAGAAAAAGTCAGATGGGTAACTTTCACAATTCAGAATTAAATTAGTGTATACATTGTTTGGTTAGGTTTATGTTATCTTGCTTTTCTGTTACACATACAAGTCAAAAATGTCCTCATGTTGATTGTATGTCACTATATAGAAAACTGAAATATACTGTAAACTATTACACAGGAATCACCAATGGAAAACCAGTCAACAATAATTAATATTCAGGATCCATTTATTATAAGCTTTCCTGTTTGATAAAACATGACATAGTGAACGACTGGTTTAAGACAATGTAAATATTCGCGAACTTGAAATGCTCACAAACATTTCTCTCACAAATATAAAAGTTGGTTTACAGTATATTTTTTTTTAATCTGTCAACTCCCCCTTTTTTCCACTTACAATGACTGTGATACCCTGCTCCTTACACAGAACGGACAAACCACACAGCACCAAACACAGACAGAGCCAGGCCATGGAGAATGTCTCTGGACGATGAAGACTTCTGTTTGGCAGGAATGAGATTTCTGCAATTCATACATCCTCATAATTAGTCATGTTAATGAAAACAGATGAGCTATAAGAAGCAATATGAATGTATATAAGGCCACTGCCTCTTTAAGCAGCAAGGAAAAATGCTATCTCATTTAGATTTTGTTTTTTTTTCTTTTCTTTTTTTAAATATTTTTTTACAATTTTTTTGCTATTTGTACATATAAACCCATATGGTTGAAAGCTGACATTTGTTTTTGCTGACAGTATAAATACAAACTTTGTTCAGTTTATCTTGACAACAGGATTTGACATAACAAATAAATGTTCAGTTTACCTTGACAACAGGAGCGGACATAACAAATAAATGTTCAGTTTACCTTGACAACAGGAGCAGACATAACAAATAAATGTTCAGTTTACCTTGACAACAGGAGCGGACATAACAAATAAATGAAAGGATGAAGAGCAAGGCACACAGGAGATCTGCTCTACCCACAATTCCGGCCACCTGTCAAATACAGTATGGGAAAATTTACATGTATATATTCATTTTGCTTTTCCTGCCACTTGTCAAATACAAAAAAATATATCTCTACTGTAATACCATTCTACAGAGAAAGTAATAATTTAACTTTCTGTTGAAAACGAAATGTTATCTTATCAGGCAATAGAAATCAAGAGCACAAAAATTTACAGTAATTAAAAATCAAAATGAGGGATTTTTTCCATCGAGATCTAATTGGTTATAGATACAATCAATATCACTCAACTAATCAGTCAGTATATTGCACACGATACCAAAAACATCTTCATACAAATTTTATTTTAAAGTATCTGTCCCAGAAAATGAAAAAGAATATGACAGGTAATATTGTTATTCTATAAATGGAGTTGGTATTACCTACATTTTGAATTTGATATGGATAGATTTTGACCTGGGATACACTTTGCAGATATTCTAGTACCTTGTGGTATAATTAATAATGCTTGCTTCATCCTGTTTTTAAAAATTCTTAGAATAGCTCAATTACATATATCTCTTTCTTTTTTGTTCATGAGAAAATCTTAATGTATGGACTTAGGGTAGGGTGTACATGTAGCTAAACCAATATGTAAGAACGCAGCTGCGTAGACATAAATTGAAATCACTCACTGATTCTGTGTGAACAGGATGAACAGCAAACAGAACGGCACACAGCAAAGATGATTTAGGAGCACCAAACACAATCTGTCCTTTTGCATCGGTATGGTAACCAGACAGGACCAATGAGAATATGATAAGCATGAGTACACACACAAGGCCATGAAGAATAATGTTTACAATGTGGAATGACATAGGAAAGGCACCGCCTGACAACCAATAATTCCATCTAAAAAAAAAAAATAATTAAACATGATGAAATTTAGGATTTTACCATTTATTCTTAACAGTTTATATCAATTAAAATCAGTTTTTCTTTCATTGACAAATGCTTTCAGGTCAATGATATGCAAAATACTTAACTTATACAACTGCATGACCTTTTATAATCAAGATATTCAGAATCTAAATTTTGACTTATTAAGTCTGCCCTCAGTTTATGGTCTTGGCTGGAGCCTGATGATTTATATCAGTCAAAATATGCTTACATGTACAATATATGTGTCGATTTCCTTAATGATTGTTAATTTTCACATTAAGGAAATATTCTACAGGATATGCACTTGGATAAAACTTGTTTTATTGGCTAAAATCACACACCTAAAGGTCAGCACTGTAAGGGGACGGTAGGACTTATGGCTGGTTTTAGAGTCCAGCTTGTTCCCCCAAAAATCATGCACAAACAAATCAGACAGAGGTGTTTCAGGTTTGAGATCATTGTTGGACAAAATGGCTTCACTGTCATCAAAGACGAAATCTCCATGGTAACTATTTACAAAACATGTGATGGCAAAAAGGAACACAATGCCTGTTGCTGCAGGGAAGGAGAGTGCTGGCAGGGGCAGACAACTGTCCCACTCCTTCCTGTTAGGGAGATTACTGATGCTCCGAGAATGTCCATTTTGTTTGCTGCTATTACTATGGCCATTTTGCTTCAGTCTGTTCATGGCTGTGACTATTCATCCTGAAATAGAAGAGTAAATCAATGTACTGAAGTCTTTAGAAATTTTTAGTTTTAATATTGTGTGTGTAGTAGGAAAGGAGATATGATTATAAAGAAAATATTTGGCTGCATGGACTTGTAATTGAAACCACCAGGATCCCTGCATCACTAGTCAGGTGCTCTAACCACTGAGCTACACAGCCCAATATCCATGGTCCATGTAGCCCCTTGCCACTACATGATCTTATATATGATACATGTATTTTTTTATGTGACAGCAATGCAACTGACCTAAACACATACTCATTTATTTGCTAATGTTTCATATCTTGGTTTGACCAAAGTCATTCAATTAAAGGCTCTCATATTCAGAATAGCTAGTATAAAAATAAGAATTGTTTAAAAAAAATATTCAGAATGTTCATTATATTATTTATAATTCTTGAAGTTTGACTTTACACTGATAATAATGTAAACCTCTCCGATTTAATATGTTCTTCACAAAATCATGATTCGATCTGCAATTCACAGTTTTAGACTGTACGTGCCTTCTGCATGCAGCTTAACAATTCATCATGTTCATGTTGTAAATATTAGCTTTCAATAAATTAAACATAATTATTAATGTCTTTATGCTAACCCATCTAAACATACTCAGGAAAACATCTTTCTATTCATTGACAAACTCAAGAACAAATGGCTATATACACTCATTTGAGAATATAGTTTTAAATAAAAGAAAAACCTCCAAAGGTTAAATCCATAATCACTAAGCATACACCGTGTAAGATTACCTTGGCTAAATGGTTCACCAACAAAAAATCAATCAATTCAATTTAAAAGCCATATATAACTCTCCTATCTCCGAGTTTTAAACATGCACCTACCCCGTTATATGCAGCCCAGGTTTCCGTTACAGGTACACATTCTTTGTGTCGATACTTCTATTACTAATTCCTTTTATCTAAAATAATTCCTTTTATTTATTATTCTTTCATTTTGCTGGCCAAGCTAATATCCAAAACAAAGAAAGTTCACCTTCCTCATCAATGACATTCTGTTTTTTATAATTCCACACTTTAGTTAAATAATCAAGTTTGAAACACATTAAAATCTAATAATCATAATAATTGAAAATGGAAATTCAGACTTCACATGACAACATAAATTACAATGAAATGGGCATGCTATTCATTGGATTTGAATGGAGGGCTGGATCTGGCCTTCTCTTGTCATGGTCTATTGGTCCCCTCTGTTTATTTTCCATAATAATGCCAGCAGAACCAGTTAGAGAGCTATTTTTATACCACGCTGTACATTATGTCATTTTATTAAATCTCTCTCATTATACAGAGTACAATGAATTTTGTTGATCTAAATTAACATGACCCCCACTCCTTTACTGATCAAAATATATAATAGTATATATACTATTATATATTTTGATCAGTAAAGGAGTGTAATTTAGATCAACAAAATTCATTGTACTCTGTATAATGAGAGAGATTTAATAAAATGACATAATGTACAGCGATGTATATACACTGTACATATTATACAGAGTAATTTGAATGAGTGATACAGTAAAAGAGAGAGAGAAAAAAAAATTAATAATAGTATGCTATGATCATTTTGAAAATGAAAGTGTAGGAAAGTGGTTCCCCCATAGAACTGGTGTAGGCGTACACCACATTCCTCTTTAATAATTTAGGGGAGAGAGAGAGAAAGAGACAGAGAATCAATTGCAAAAATTAGTTAAATACTACACCTATCTTTACACCTATCTTACATATAGGCCTTACTTTGTCACTATTTCAAGTGACTTTATTCTTACCAGGTACCTACATACTAGTAATATTCGACGGTATTATGAGTTTAGAATTTGTATGGACACTACTGTCTCGAATTTCCTCTGTTTATGAATAAGAAGTTCTGCGTTACGTGGTTGAAAGTTATCATGGTATGGTCAAAGGTTTACTAACAGGTATATTTATAAAGAATAGAACTAAAATTAATTACCTTAGCTAACATATTATCGTCACAGGCAGCAGAATACACCCCTGGCTCACGTTTTTCCGTTTTTTCGGGGCACTGTAGAGTACTCGTTCCTTGGAGAGTCGTGCAACGTTGATCTATTTTTTTGGACCGAGGCGGGCGGGGGATGGGGGGGGGGGGGTGTAGTGGTTTTAGCATGTTATATGGGTTACTTAATAAATACAGACAGATTTTATTTTGACATCGAATGTGTTACAGGGACGTATCTTAAAATTATAAGAAAACTTTTTAGTGTTGGAGAAAAACATCTTCGCTAGCCAAGGGTTTCCGATCCGAAATCTACTCTACAGTAGATTTCGGATCGGAAACCCTTGGCTAGCGAAGATGGGAGAAAAAGGGCAGCAGCAGTAACTTTTATTAAAATGTTATAACAAATAAGTATGTTGTTGTAACAAATTAGTATGTTGTTGTAACAAATTAGTATGTTGTTGTAACAATCAGATTCTTAATTTGTTATTAATAGCAATTTAGTATATTTTTACATAACAAATTAGTAATTTATTACAACAAATTGGTATGTTGTTCTAACAAATTAGTACGTTGTTGTAACAATCAAATTGTTAATTTATTATTTGAAACTAACAAATAAGTAATTTTATATAACAAATTAGTAATTTCTTTTAACAAATTATCAATTTGTTAGTCTGTTTTAACAAATAAATAATATATAGTTAATGACAAATTATTAATTTGCCATAACAAATAGATATGTAATTCGATAAAACTAATTATTAATTTATTATAACAAATTATTAATTTGTTATAACGAATTAATAATTTGTTATAACAATTTTTTTTTTTTTGTTATAACAAATTAATGATTTGATAAAATAAATTATTATTTAAAAATTGGTCATAATAAGTTATTTAATTTGTTATAACAAATTAGTAATTTGATATAACAAATTAGTAATTTGATATAACAAATTAGTAGTATGTTTTAACAATTTACTAATTTGGATGTATTTTGAAAATGGTAAAAATTAAAATGAATTCGTTGATATTAAAGCAATGGAGAAGAAAACAGTTTATTTATTAAACAAGCAAACTACTATCGATTAGGTTGAATTGTTACCGAAATTGTACATTTTATGACTCAGGGACTTGGATTGAATATCTCTGCTAGACAACTGTAAAGAATAACTGCATCCCAGGGATTACATAGAAAAAAATCCAATTAAATTAATGAATTTTGGATCCTTCATATTGAGAGAAATTCGAAGATCGGGAGATTCGGGACAATTTTAAAAATATGATTTCATTTTCTTTCATTGAAATTAACACTGTTCAAAATGGACAGTTCTTTGCAAGGTCACCCAAGAGGTCAAAAGGGGGGGGGGCTGAAATTTTCCTTCTTTACATAATTGTGTAATATTCTCATAAAATATCACATTGCTAAATGATTTCTTTTAAAATTACAAATGAATTTGAAGATGAATCTGTCAAAGTAAGATTTAGGCCAATAATAAGGGGACGACCATTTGATTCCGAGGGGGGGGGGGGGGGGTAAATAATCTGTCCTCGAAAATACTGAAAATTAATAATCTGTCCTTGATTGGCAAGGAAATAAATAATAAATATTTAATCTGTCCTTGACCAGTGCTATCCCCTCTCACCTCAAAACAGAGTTTTGGAGTTTAGGTGTTTTCCTTTATTTTTTTTATTTTTTATTTTATTTTATTTTTTTTTTTTTGCTCGTCATTTTTTTTTTCAGATAAAAGAAAATGTAATTCTTGATGGAAGTGAGGAGTCTCTTTTAGAAACACTGAAAACTTTGAACACATTCTCAGATATGTCTGGATTATGCATTAACTTCTCAAAAACACACACTGTGTGGATTGGATCCAAAAAATACAGTGATGAGGTTTTAATCCCAAATTATCAACTTAATTGGGGAACTACTAGATTTACTTTATTAGGTATAAATTTTGATGTTGACCTAGATAAAATGTGTGAAATAAATTATCAACCAAAGCTAGTGCAAATCAAGTCTATTCTTAGTCAATGGGGAAAAAGGTTTTTAACTCCAATTGGAAAAATTACTGTTATAAAGACATTGGCTTTACCTATATTAAATCATTTATTTATGTCAATCCCAAATCCATCTAATTCTTATTGTAAAGAATTAGAAAAACTTTTTTTCTCATTCTTATGGAATAATTCAACTCATAGAGTTAAGAAAGATGTCATTGTTAAAAAATATGAAGATGGAGGACTGAAAATGATAAATTTAAATGCTTTCATTGTTTCTTTGAAATTAGTTTGGATAAGACATCTAGTTTTTACAAATAAAGGGTGGGAAAATTTCATCCCAAATATGAATATATATAAATTTGCATCCTGTGGTATTGAATACATCACTCAACTTATGAAAACCTTAAAAAATAAATTCTGGATTGATGTGTTCAAGTCCTGGGTTGATTTGAATAAAATTTGTACTGATTCTGATGCTACTGTAGACTCTCCACTGTTTTATAACCCTATGATCCATATTGGAGGGAAAACCTTTTACAGTAAAAAACTTTTTGACAATAATATTAGATATATTAATGACATTATTGGAGAAGATGGCTTTTTTTTATAGCTATGAATGCTTTTGCAATACTTATCCAGATATAAAGATTAATTTTTTAGAATATTCTAGCTTGATCCATGCAGTTAAAGCTTGGATAAAGAGGAGCAATTTCGATAAAAATTTACAAAAATCAGAAAATCCTCTTATTATGTCTAACTTTTATCTTGTATCAAAATGCAAAAAATCAAAAAACTTCTATGAAATTCTCAATAAAAATTCTTCTATAACAGCTGGTTACAAAAAATGGATTGAATTATTTGATTTGGATAGCAAGGAATGCAAACTAATTCATAAATTACCATTTCAAGTCACAAAAAACTGTAAACTCCAGTGGTTTCAGTACAGAATTTTAAATAAAATATTGGCAACAAATTCTTTTTTATTCAAAATTAAGAAGGTTGTTTCAAAGCAATGTACTTTTTGTCAAAAAGAAGAGGAGACAATTGAACATATCTTATGGGAATGTGATCTTGTACAATCACTCCTTGAAAACTTTGAATATTATCTCCAGCAGAAAAAACCTCCATTTATCCATAACAAAAAAATCATTTATTTTAGGTATTGGAGGAAAAAATAATGAAATAGCTAATATCTTAATCTTATGGTTGAAATATTATATTTATACTTCTAGATGCACTGAAAAACCTCTAAATGTGCACTCTGCGATATCACACTTGAGTTATTTTTACCAAACACAAAAATATTTATCATATAAAAATGGTGAAAAAGAGAAATTTGACAATCAGTGGAACAGGTGGAACCAACTATTTTTGTAACTCTCTCTCTCTCTCTCTCTTTCTCCCCTCTCTCTCTTTCTCTCTCTCTCTCTCTCTATATACACAGTTCTGTTAAAGAAAAGATATTGGACATTTTGTATATAATGAATTGTGTTGAAAAAATAAAATAATTAAAAAAAAAAGAAAAGAAAATGTAATAATCTGTCCTTGGTAATCTTCTTAGAAATAAATAACCTGTCCTTAACTGGCATGAAAATAAATAATCTGACTCGAAAAAAAATTTGCCAGCCTCCCCCTTTTCAGAATCATATGCCAAATGGTCGTCCCCTAGGTTACGCATAGTGGGACTTGAGGGCTTTTCCAACAGGCACTTATTTTGTTTTCGAAAATTACACCCATACATGAAAAATAACGAAGGTATCTAACTCTAAATTTCATCCAAGTACTACCCACCCAAGAATATTGTTTATTTTCGTTTTTAGAGAAAGTTTGTTATATATTTTTTGTCTGTTAATTTATCTAAAAATTCATTTTTGTCAATATGTTGCCTTTCTTGCCCCCTCAGCACATAAAAGGGGTCCAGGGGGTTCACCTGAAGAGGAGATCAAAGTTTTTGCATTACGGACTGGGGTGTTATATATGACCTGCATGGTAGATGGGGGTCAAGGGCGGAGCCCTGGTTGAGGGCAGCACAGGAAGGATAGAGGATTCCCAGATAGAGTCTACTACATTTTATAATGTTATACTAATAGTGAGATGTTCCCCTCTGCAAAGCCATACGACTAATCATGGCTTTGCTTTTCTTAAGAAGAAGATTTTTAAAGATATACACGATCATGCCCAAGGGGTCATGATTTGAGAAACTTGAATTTTTCACTACATGAGGATACTTTCATATCAAAATGACTAATCAGGGCTTTCTTGTTCTTGAGAAAAATGTTTAAAGATATTCCTATCTATTACTATGTAAATAAAAATTATCCCCGAGGGTCATATTTGGAACAAAATTAGATACACACTATACTTGTGGATATTTTTATATCAGTAGGACTAATCATGGCTTTGTTGTTCTTGAGAAGATTTCTAAAGATTTTTCCTGATCACATTTTCTCTGGCTTCCGCCTGTCTGTCTAGCTGTCCGTCTGTAAACTTTTCACGTATTCGACTTCTCAAGAACCACTTGGCCAATTATTTCATCCAAATTTGCCACGAAGCATCTTTGGGTGATGAATGAATATCATTAAGGGAATAAGCAAGACTCTCGTTTCCCAAGGCCAGGTCTATTTCCAGAGGCGAGGCCGAGGGAAATAGTCCTGGTAAGAGGGAACTGGAATCTAAATAGCTCTATCATAACCGGGTCAACCTCATTCCGGACTCCAGCCTAACGGTTCTTATTTTCTGTACCTCAACCACTGAAGTTTGAGGAGGCAGAGTCCCGAATGACATTGGGCCGATCATGCATTTGTTTGTATAACCCGGGATCTTTGGCTATGCAAGTGAGAGGACGCACCAAGTGGAATAACTCTTATAATCTTTGAGCTTGGTCGAAGTGACCCTATTTCTACGAAATGACCCTTGTATATTACACTTCCAATTTCCCTCTAAATCTGAGGACCTTCCCTCACCAGAGCGGCTCACAGGTGTTAAGGTGTGGCACTGTTACCCAACCTGTATAAAATGCAAGCAGAGACAGACACAATCCAGTTTCTGACTTTATTACATTAAACAATCCAT